TTCCTCATCCCATTCTTCCTCCTCTGTCTCCAAAAGGATGTCACACACCCCCACCCGCACTCCAGCAGACCTCTCCACTCCCTGAGGCCTCAAGTCTCTTGAGGGTTAGGTGTGTCTTCTTTCACTGGGGCTAGACCAGGCAGTCCTCTGGTATATATGTGTCGGGGGCCTCATGAAATACTTTACTTGAAAAATTTCCCAGTCCATTGGTTTTTATTTACTGTGTATATTGGCTGTACATACTCCATTCATTTAAGGCTGTATGTCAAGTGTTTTACAAGCAACAAATTAAACAGAACTACAATTAACAGTGCCATAATAAACAGGAAGAAATAAAATATAATCAACTTAAATCAAGTGGTGGAATGAGGTAAGAAAAAAAACTAATTAAATCTTTATTTAAACAAAAGATTAATAGTTTCTTTCTGATAAAATATTACATTTTAAAACATCACATGAAATTTGTAATTATAGAGCAAACTACAAAACAAGTACATAACATGTGTAATTATGAAAACACACACAAAAAAAAACAATAGAGAAACTTTAAAGGTATGTAAACCAAACAAGTCCATTTTAACTCAAAATAAGATTTGTAGACTTCTGCCAACAACAAAATATTAGGTAACTTTGATAGATTCTTCCCATAAGAATCACTTAGGAAAAGATGACACAAATTTTTCTTAGTTTTATTGCTTTAATAGGGTCTCATTGTTACCTCAAACTCACAGCAATCCTTCTGTCTCAAGTTTCCAGAGTGCTAAAATCACAGGAGGATGTCACCACCCTTGGCTTGACAGAATATTTTTTTAGTCTGTTTAAAGGTTTCACAATATTGTTATGTATTACCTGAGCAAATTCAGGTGAGAATGGATGTCCTCTGAAATGAATCTTGTGTTTAGAGTGTATATTACAAAAAATAATTGATGGTGCTGAGGGGAGAAGCTGAGAAGCTAAGTAGTAATTCATTAAACCTAGTGAAAGTGAATGAACAGACAATGGCATATAGATCATCTATGAAATGTGGGGTGGAGTTAAGGAAATACCAATTAACCTTCCTCACTGTGATGTTTGTCTATACTATGATTAGCATGAATGGGCGCATACAGGCTCTTCCATGGACATCTTCTAATCCATTTAATCTCTGAAACTGAACTGACATGATTTGCCCCATTAGTGGCTCTAAACATCTGACTAAAGTAAAGGAGAATCTTCTCTAGAGGAAGGAATATTATCTTGGATCTAAGATCACTTCTACCAACATTTTTTTCCAAATAAGTTGTCTAGTATGTATGCAGAAGCAGGCAGGCCAGAGACAAGGCAACATGAATTAAGATGAACAAAAGGAAGAGAATAACAAGGAAAGATATTAGAGTTATCAGACAAACATTTTGAAGTAAAAATATATGCCATATTTGGAGAACTCTTGAAGACAAGTATAAGCTATGCAAAAGAATCAAAGTTCTTCTCTATACACCAAAAGTTTATGTATCAAATCCAAAATTAAGTAGATGATCTTTGAACATTGGTATGTACACCTATCAATTCATTTATTTAATAGGTCTATACTATATACTTTTCAGCGTAAGCTATAATTAGAGTAGAAGGGAGATGGGAAAATAAATTAGACATTGGCACGCTGTTATCAAGGAATATATGGTTTGTAGCCACATTCATCACAGAAATCATTCTAGTCAAAAAAGCTATAACTGGAAATGCCTCAAGGTTTTCATTATTGTCTTCTAAAAGGCAAAGAAAAAGAAGCAAGTTGTGATGCTAAAATTATATGTTCCTAAATCAGTTCTGGAAGATAGTTGCTAAAGATGGATGGATGGGAAAGAGACCATCATTACTATAGATAAGACTCAAGACAGTGCTATTTTCCTCCAGAGGAGTCTCATGAGTACAAGAGGTGGTCACTTTAATCTTGAATGCCAAGAGTAGAGGCACAATCATTCATCCCCCAAGAGTGCAATAGCTTTAGCGTAAGTTCTGTGATCACCTAGCACTTCAGGTCAGTACCATTCTTCAGCCTACAGAAAATGCATTAGAAACATGGCCCCAACTACATTTGAAGCTGTATTGATTTGGAGACTGTGAAAGCAATATATTTCTTTTCAATTTCTTTAAGATGGGAAACTGCTTGAGAAATCCTCAGATAAAATAACCCAGCCTCAATACTGAGTGGATAGTTGACTTAAAGTATAAGTTACTTAACATCCAACATAAATATCTCTCCTAGAATTTGGAACTTGGAAAGGAACAGTTATTTCTCAGAATCATGAACTTCTCTTAGATGCATTCATGAACAAAGAGGCTAAAAGCTAGTCTGTAAAAAGAAAACCTGCCTTACATATTCTTGCAATCTGTTCCAAATATACTACTGGTACGTTGTTTATAAAGGAGCAGGAGGTGCTAGGAATGTGGCTCGTGTGCATGACACTTGTCTATCATGCATGAAATTTTTCATTCAGTTTGAAGTATTGAATAGAAAGTAAAGGGGAAAAATACCTAGAAAGAGCAAGCCTAAGTCCACAGCCTTTTCCTGGTGCCAGGGCAGGAATGCATGCATCATCTACAATTATTGGCCTGTGCTCAAACACTGAAGGAGTCTGCTTAGATTTGAGAAATCATCACTGATGAACTAGTCTCATATTCTCATGGCATATCTCTGGCCTGCAAGCACCACCAAAATGTATCACATGCTGAGACAACATCAAAAAGTGGATTAAGATTATCCTACTTCAGCCAACACAAGCAATGTTAGGAGATGCTAGCTAGAATCAAATTCTGTATACTAGAGCTATTTCAGAACTTCATGGTATGTCTAGGTATAGGCATTGTCTTAGTTATGGTTTCTATTGCTATGAAGAGACACCATGACCATGGCAACTCTTACAAAGAAACACATTTAATTTGGACTGGCTTACAGTTCAGAGGTTTAGTCCATAATCATCATGGCAGAAAGCATCCTAGCATTCAGGCAGACATGGTGCTGTAGAGGTAGCTGAGAGTTCTACAGCTTGATCAGCAAGCAGCAGGAAAAGAGAGTGAGCCACTAGCCCGGGCTTGAGCTTTTGAAACTCCAAAGCCCACCACCGCCTAGTGATGTACTTCCTCCAACAAAACCACACCTATGCCAACAAGGCCACACCTCCTAAGAGTGCCACCCCCTGTGGACCTATTGGGGACATTTTTATTCAAGCCACCACAGAGATGTTAGCACATACCCACTTTTAGATTTTACCAGCCTGAAATTAAATGCTAATATGAAGTCCTAGAATTATGATTCAATACTACTACCATTCAGTAGGGACTGTATACCATGCTATGCTGCCTGATATTGTAGTAGTCTTGATAAAGGCAGACCCTTGTCTGCATAGACAAATGTTGAACTAGATTATCTACAGACACAGGGGCCTGCACAACTTCAGGAGCACATTGAGGCCCATGCCGCAGTTTCACTGAAGCAGCCAAAAAGTGAGTCTGTTGTATTGGAGTGCTGATTTGGCTCCTGTGTTGCAAGCTACAGATGTGCTACACTGGGTTGAAGAACAGGTAGTGGAGACAGCTATGTGATCAAAGCTGATAATAAGATGGGTTGCATAACCACAGGGGCTAGTATGGTATATCAGAAGAGGTAGAAGTTCTCCAGGCTCACCCCAAAGACAGTTATGATTCAGGGCAAAACATGATTTTAGTCCACACTGTGCAAGTCTTAGGCTGATTCCAGGGCTTATCAGGAGCTCTCTGAGCCTTAGCTTGCATTTAGGGTTTTCATATTATACTGCATACTTGGTCTTGTCATAATGGGCTTAGTCCTGAGACTTGAAGCAAAGTCTTGTGTTAGATTTTCTGTACTGCTCTTCAGGGGATGAAATCACTCACTCCACTCTACCACTAAGGTTGGAGAAGGGGCTGCTGAAGCAGTTTCTTATTCTCCCCATGCCTAAGGCAATTCCATATTCTTAGTCTACACATAAGCATTGGTCTTGTAGGAAAGACTTCTGGCTTTGCTTGTCTCTGAATTTTATCTTTGCAGTCATAGTCCTGGCTTTCAAGTTTAAAGCCTAAATTTACATCCCCCTCCCTTCCTCAATAGGAAGGTATCTCTACCTGCTTGGGGCTGCTTGGAGTTGAGGAAGAACTGATGTAGATAATATTTTCATTTCTGCCTTCTTCTATACCATCTTTTTGTTTTGTTTAGTCAATTGATAAGGATTGAACTCAAGGTAACATCCCTTAGAATTTGGATTGTTGTTATATGGAAATACATGTATATATCACTATCAGACTAAATCAATAATATCAATGGCTCATAAAATTCTGCAAGTAATAGTAATCTGGGCTGTCATAGTTTCTCTAATCAATATGAAAAGTAAAGCCAAGATTGAGTAAGAAGAAAAACAACACAACAACAAGGAGAACAAGAAGAAAAAGAGGAGAAGGAGGTAAAAATAGAATGTTTAGGTGTGATAATTGGGAAAGGGATTGGTAGGAATAGAAGTTTGACAAAAACATATAAAAATATCTGAATTAAGTCAAGTATTTGTATGATAAATAGATGCTTTAAAACATTTTAAATTGTCCCCAGAATCTGAACAAATAGTATACTGTCTTAATATATGTGGTTAAGAATTGGGGATCTTATGCTAACTTTGCCAAGTATTCTCTTAAAAATCATCTTCCATCTATTAAAACCACAATACTTACTCTCTTCAACACGCTTAAACTAAAAAGAATTTTTCTGGCTAATTTCAATGGAAAACTGTGCTATTTACCTGGTCTTTCCATTTTATGGAAAAAAGACTAGAAATGTCAAATGCTCATACCTAATAAAGGTTGCCCTCCTTAAAGATATCTGAGGAAATCTTTCAGCTTAGCTTTAAAAAGACTTTTTAAATTCAATATTTAATTTATAGCACAGAAGAAACTCAACATGATTAATACTTAACAGTATTACATAAACAGTTCTATATATAGATTTAGAACATACATACCCACAGAAAGGTTCAGAGGGTTCTAGTAAATGGATAACACCATCACTAAAGGGATAAGATAGAAAGTCTGTTCAGGTTGCGATTCACTCTATCTCATCATGTTACTGTAGTAGTGTCTAAAAATATATTTCTATATTGACCAATGCAGGTCCAAATTGACCCTGCTGGATTGGCTCCTCTCTTCTATCAGAGGTGACATATTTTGCATTTGAAAATAATGTAAGCTTCTAAGTGGTAATTTCTTATTATTCTATATTTAAAATCCACAAACTTCATCAAACGTATTCCCATTGCTCTATTTCCCTCCCTATTTGTTACTATACAGATTTGTATGAATGAAGGGTATGAATGGGATAACTTCTGCAATATAAAAAGATTAAATTCTCTGCAACATCTTGTTAGTACAAGATCCCTTAAAGGCAAAACTCTTATGATGGGGTTGCAGAAGTTCTGAAGATTTCTCATCTTCAGGCATGAAAAGGAATATTTATGGATTGATTGTTATTGCAAGAGTTACTCCATCACTCAGACTTGCCTATTTGAATGTTCCTCATTTCTTATACTCACATAGATCCCCAAAGGCAGCAGCTGAGGCAGACCTATAAAAATATGGCTGATGAAATGTTCCATGTCTCTAACATTAAGTGACTGATAATGGTGAACCCCCTTTCTTGAAATAAAAAGACCCAAATATCTTGTAAGTATGAAATTCTGGATGCAAGGGTTAGACACACGATGGGATAGGGGGTTCTCTAAATTGAGAAGCATAGTACTGGATCATCTTAACAGAACCCATTCATGGATGTAGATTGAAGAATGTATACACAAGTCAACTGGACCACTAATCCACACTATAACTTACTTGGCCAAATGGAAGCAAAGCTGCCAATTAGCTGACTTTAAAATAAAGAGATCAATTTGTGTTATACAGACAGGACAGATGCATACAATCAGTAAGATCCTGAAGTAAGGATAAGGAGACCAGAAGAATCAGAACCAAAGAGAAAACATCCTAAACAATTCAACCAACTGTTACTAACTTTCAAGTTTGAAGAAGAAGCCCAGAACCAAAGAATGTTAGCCACTTCCAAAAGCTGTAAAAAGTACAGAAACAGTGTCTTCTTTAGAACCTCTAGAAGTCTTTTATTATCATATTGCTTTTCCATTTCCTTTAAATTTAATGACAGTACCTTAATTTTGTCCAGAGAGACATCATTGCTGACTTCTCACCTTTAAACCTATAGGAAAAATAAATGTTTGTTATTTAAAGCTCCTAAATTTGTAGCAATTTGATTCATTTGATAATTAATACAATTATTGGAATATTTTGGACTATGCTGTGAGTTCTTTTATGTTAACAGTATGTTTTTCCAAAGTTGGCATTGAGTACAATGTTCACACAGTATTAATGCATCTTCTTCCACATCATGCCCAAGATGCAGAATGCCTGGGCTTTCCTGGATGTAGTACAAGGAAATGGCTAACTTGTTTCTTCTATCCCAGGATGCTCTCAGCACAAATTCCTGGGTTCTATCAACAGAACGTTGGCTTGAGGAAAGATAAAAATGAGAATTTTCAAATAAATAAATAAATAAATATCCAGAAGATGCTGATGTAGATTCTGCTGCTTAGGGAACCACATTTCAAGTCCTCCTGGTCTGGCAGAAGAGAAAGATATATAAACAAATAAAATATCTTTGTACAAAATACCTATAATCTTAAATATCCAAAATAAAATATAACTTTATATCCAGTATGTCATGCTACACAAAAAGTACAGCCATCAGCATAAACACATGAAAAATACATTTAAATAGATTAAAAAATAAGTTCAAACAAGAAAGGGGGATAGAAAAGTCAAGAAACATATCTGGCAGAAGACTGCCTGTTGGAAAGACAAAGAGGGAAACACCTAGATTCTAGGATGTGGAATGTATACAACTGAAAAAAAGGGGTAATTGGGAAGAAGTGGAGAGAGAGAGAGAGAGAGAGAGAGAGAGAGAGAGAGAGAGAGAGAGAGAGAGAGGCTTTCTACCCTAAGTACATCAATGTGCTATTATCCCAAATGCTAGGTTTACCTGCTGATATTAATACACAGACTTACATATCAGAGAGTGCATGTGAAAGCTGCATTTAGACAAGTGAGAATGCTAATGAGACCAGAAGCAAAGATAACAGGAAAAAGACTCCTCCAGAGACATCACTTCCTGCTCTGTAGTGAAAGAAATGGCCTGGAGAGCTTAACTATGAGGAAAGCACTTGAGTTACCAATTAACCTTTATATTCCTGGTTACAAATTAACTATAAACAGTGAGGGAAGACTGTGGAGATTGAGAGAGTGACTGCCAGGGTTCAAACTTACAGATTTGGTTAGCTAATGAAACTATTCACGAGCAGTGAAGACCCTAAATGAGTTCTTCTCTGGGAAAGGCAATGCTTTTCTGTTGCAAACTCATAGTTTTTTCTTAAGGTGCCCAGGTTATAGGTACAAGATGATCAGATGATAACTATAAGCATCCATTATTTTCCAGTACATCAAAGCATAAAACAAAATTTAATATAAAAATGAATAGCAGTGCTTACCTACAAACCCACCAAAGTAGTTCTATTTTTGTCAGATTCTTTTTGTAAAGTAGTTAGTGTCTAATATCCTCCCACTCTTCTCAGATCAAGCATATTAATAATCCTTTCAGAGTCAACAGAATTGGGAAATGAGAATAAGAAATGATTTAGCAATGACTTCGTAATGGAATACACTTAATGGCAATTATATAACCTTGAGTAAGTGCTTTTATGCAAAGCATATACTTTGAGGTTGGCTACTGCTTTACTCTGTGTGCATGTGCGTGTGTGTGTGCATATGCCTGTGCATATGCATGTGCATGTGCGTGTGTGTGTGTGTGTGTGTGTGCGCGTGTGTGTACATATGCATGGCTTGGTGAATATAGCCTATCTTTACCTAAAGACAGAGCCAAACATGAAACATTGGCCAAGTAGGGAGTAATTAGAGATATTTTCTGTTTGAAAACATTATATAGATGTCATTAAGGAATTAAACAATTCACATATATTGAGCTCTTAGAAAATTATATAAAGCAATATTTACATATTAAAAGGAATAAGTAATGTTGCTTTAAAAGTTAAATATTTCTGCCTGAAATCTAAATATCAGGCTAGAACAAAGAAGTAATTTCAGACAGGAATCTAAATTTTAGGCTAGAACAAGGAACTAGGCTTCAGACATGAAAATGACTTTGGGCTAGAACAGGGAAGATGGCTCAGATATTTTGGTCATCCTGATAAGCCCTTAGAACCAGTGATCATGGGAGTGTTCACAGAATTTTGTTTACTGCCTTGCTTTTTCTTTGACTATTTGTGTTTATTGTCTTGTTTGTTCCTTGACTATTTGCATCTATTATATTGTTTGTCCCTCATCCTAGAACTGATCTGAATACTTGCATGTAATCCAAATGATATAAAAGCAAAAAGGAGGAGGGGGGATGGAATAGGGGGTTCTAGGGAAGGGAAAGAGGATAATATCTGAAATGTAAATAAATAAAATATTCAATAGAAAAAAGTTAAATGTTTAAAGTTGATCCTCTAAACACAGCCCACAGAATCAACTGACTGGGACTCATGGGGATTTGTAAAGATCAGGGAGCCTGTATGAGTCTGACGTAGGTCCTCTGCATATATGTTATTCCTGAGTTGCTTGGTGTTCTTGAGGGACACCTAACAGTGGGAACAGGGGATGTCCCTGAAAGTTTTGCCTACTTATGGGACCTTTATCTCCAAGTGGATTGACTTGTCCTACCTTGATGTGATACATGTCTAGTTTTTTATTTGTTTTTTTATTAAAGTAATAAAATTTATTTTAAAATATACAGCTCAGTATTGACATTTTTAAATGATCAAAATAATTTATAGTAGTTAAATGCCTCTTAAATATACATGATATCTTCTGAAGATAAAAGTAATAAGCACTCGACCTGTTTTTAAAATCTATTTGGAACATCAAACATGATAGAAGTAGAAAAAAATCTCTTATAAAGTCCTCTATGGAAGGAAATTGTGACAAGATCCTGGTTAGACAGAAACATTTCCATCTCCAAGGGAGAATATTCAGCATAACTGTGGCATCATAGAATGAATTAGGTAGTGTTCCTTCTGTTTCTATTCTGTGGAATAGTTTGAAGAGAATTGGTATTAGGTCTTCCTTGAAGGTCTGATAGAATTCTGCACTAAAACCATCTGGTTCTGGGCTTTTTTTGGTTGGGAGACTTTTAATAACTGCTTCTATTTCTTTAGGGGTTATGGGACTGTTTAGATGGTTTATCTGCTCCTGATTTAACTTTGGTACCTGGTATCTGTCTAGGAAATTGTCCATTTCATCCAGATTTTCCAGTTTTGTTGAGTATAGGCCTTTGTAATAGGATCTGATGATTTTTTAAATTTCCTCAGTTTCTTTTGTTATATCTTCCTTTTCATTTCTGATTTTGTTAATTTGGATTCTGTCTCCGTGCCCTCTGGTTAGTCTGGCTAAGGGTTTATCTATCTTGTTGATTTTCTCAAAGAAACAGCTTCTGGTTTTGTTGATTCTTTGTATAGTTCTTTTTGTTTCTACTTGGTTAATTTCAGCCCTGAGTTTGATTATTTCCTGTCATCTACTCCTCTTGGGTGTATTTGATTCTTTTTGTTCTTGAGTTTTCAGGTGTGTTGTTAAGCTGCTAGTGTATGTTCTCTCCAGTGTCTCTTTGGAGGCACTCAGAGCTATGTGTTTTCCTCTTAGTAGTGCTTTTATTGTGTCCCATAAGTTTGGGTATGTTGTGACTTCATTTTCATTAAATTCTAAAAAGTCCTTAATTTCTTTCTTTGTTTCTTCCTTGACCAAGTTATCATTGAGTAAGACGTTGTTCAGCTTCCATGTGTATGCAGGCTTTCTGTTGTTTTTGTTGTTGTAGAAGACCAACCTTAGTATGTGGTAATATGATAGGATGCATGAAATTATTTCAATCTTCTTGTATCTGTTGAGGCCTGTTTTGTGGTTAATTTTGGTGACAGTATCATGAAGTGCTGAGAAGGTGTATTCTTTTGTTTTAGGATGAAATGTTCTATAGATATCTGTTAAATCCAATTGGTCCATAACTTCTGTTAGTTTCAATGTGTCTGTGTTTAGTTTGTGTTTCCATGATCTGTTCGTTGAAGAGAGTGGGGTGTTGAAGTCTCTCACTATTATTGTATGAGGTGCAATGTGTGCTTTGAGTAAAGTATCTTCTATGAATGTGGATGCTCTTGCATTTGGAGCATAGATGTCCAGAATTGAGAGTTCTTCTTGGTAGATTTTTCTTTTGATGAGTATGAAGTGTCCTTCCTTATCCTTTTTGATAACTTTTGGCTGAAATTTGATTTTATTAGATATTAGAATGGCTATTCCAGCTTGTTTCTTGGGACCATTTTCTTGGAACTTGTTTTCCAGCCTTTTACTCTGAGGTAGTGTCTGTCTTTATCACTGAGGTGCATTTCCTGTATGTAGCAAAATGCCGGGTCCTGTTTATGTAACCAGTCTGGTAGTGTACGTCTTTTTATTGGGGAATTGAGTCCACTGATGTTAAGAGATAGTAAGGAAAAGTTTTTGTTGCTTCCTGTTATTTTTGTTATTAGAGGTGGAGTTATGTTTGGGTTTGTTGGAAGATTACTTTCTTGCTTTTTCTAGGTTGTAGTCTCCCTCCTTGTGTTGGAGTTTTCCCCTTATTATCCTTTGCAGGGCTGGAGTTGTGGAAAGATATTGTGTAACCTTGGATTTGTCAGAGAATATCTTGGTTTCTCCATCTACTGTGATTGAGAGTTTTGCTGGGTATAACAGCCTGGGCTGGCATTTGTGTTCTCTTAGGGTCTGTATGACATCTGCCCAGGATCTTCTACCTTTCATAGTCTCTGGTGAGACATCTTGTGTAATTCTGACAGGTCTGCTTTTATATGTTACTTGACCTTTTTCCCTTACTGCTTTTAATATTCTTTCTTTGTTTTGTCACATGCCTAGCTTTTTGAAGCTTGTTATGCCATGTTTAGTTGATGTCCCTGGGAGGTCTGTCTTTTCTTAGGGGAGTCAGAGAGGTGGTGGATCTGGGGGAGAGTCGAGGTAGGAGAGACTAGATAGAGCAGAGGGGAGGGAAACTGTGATTGGGATATAATATATGAGAAAAGAATTAAAACATAAAATAAAGTTGATCCTCTAATTCAAGTAATTAATTGCAATGAAAGTGATTTAAATGATAAATTTTTGAAAATTTAGCAGAATATGTTCTAAATGCATATAACATGTGCAGAAAAACATCACATATAGAATTACAGGTAATTTGAACTTTTTGTCAAAGAAAACTATGTATTGTTTTACTCAGCATAACGCTGTTGTAACTGTTATGAGATGTGCCAAATTCTGACACATCTCAGGGTGATTCAGATACTAAAACTTTGGCAAGAAAATTCTTAATACTTGAAAATTTTGTCTAAGTTATCCATTTAATGGCCAAATTATTTATCTTCTTTTGTTTCTGTAGATACAATCCAAGCAATCTACATTTTCCCATCAGGGACTCCAGATTTGAATATTTAGAATAGTCAGACTGAGTTGGTAAGATGGCTCAGTGTAAGATGGCACTTGCTACCGAAACTTAAAAACCCAACTCTGAATCCCCAGAACCTGCAGTAAAGCCAGACACCAATAGTGCCATCTGTATTTCAGTGTTCATCTAGCAAGATGGGTGGCAGAGGCAGAAAAATCCTTGGAAATTTGCAAGTTGGTTAGCCTGGCATATGCAGCAAAAACAAAAACAAGAGACCTTGCTCCTAAAAAAGTAGATGGTAGGGCCCAACGTCTCAGGCTATCTTCTTTGACCTCCACATGCAAGCTATGGAACAAGTTTTCACTGTATCATGGTATGCTACATGAACACAGACATGAATACACACAATTTTAAAAAACAATAACAGTTAACAGTAGTAGTTAGCAACTTGTTACATGACTAGGAGACAGAAACACAGTCTCAGCAAAACCTCTGTTTTCCTCGCTCTTAGGATCTTGCTGACCTTCTCAAATGATCCCCAAGTCTTAGGTGCAAGAGTTATATTGTAGATGTAATATCACACAAGCTGAGTAGATGATAGATAGATAGATAGATAGATAGATAGATAGATAGATAGATAGATCA